CGGAAGGCAGGACAGAGCTTCATCACTCTGAAATCACTTTGGAAATCTTCTGTACTCAGCCTGACGAACCAGATTCAGACTTTCAACACCAATGTTAAGTCAGTTCCTCAGTGTGTCAGAAACTTGGTACTTGCGTCACGAAGAGAATTCCCAACAACCCGATGAAGACTTTTCTCAACTCCTGCCTTCAGCAACAGGAAGCTCCAGGAACAAATTAATCAAGAACCTATTGCTCAACAAGTATCATGAAGCAAAGGTGGGTAGAAATTAAGCTATGGAAACCATCAAACGACATCAAACACCAGGTCACCGAGTGGAATTCGAATGAAAAACGATGAATCGGGCATCAGTCCAAAGGTGACATGGAGGAGATCGTATGAAGAGGAGGTCAGAGTCTATGGGCATTCGTGGGTCCAGCTGAAGAGGACAACAGAGAACAAGACAAAGCAAAGATGTGCTGTTGAGCCCTACTGTTCCACTCGGAATCCAAGGGAACAACATTAATAATACGTGGATGTAAATAGATATTTTGGTAGCCCAATGTTGAAGTAGACTACCAGTTGTACATAATAGGAAAACGATCCATTCAACCACAGATTACTTGAGTTTATTTATTTATTCATAAAATTATGTTTCAAATCATTTTCTTATAAGGTATAAGGAGAATGTGTGAACACAATCCAGTAATCACTGAAACTTGCATTCCATTGGAAAACAATCTGAAGACAACGTTGAGTTGGAATAAAGTTTTTCCCTATAATAAATCTAATTCCTCGATTCTATCCAGTTTTGCATTGTTGAAGATACTCTGTAGTAGATCTTTCACCTTGCGCTTTGCGACCTTCATTTCTTATCTTCGGTGAATCTCCTTATAAACGAAATTTGAAGATTTACATAAATATACTTAAATGGTGCTCATCCGAATAGCGAAGCAAAGCACCCCACTTTGCCCTGTTGCTACTTGCATGGGTAGCCGGCTAAGAATACCAGATGTCGCTAGTTTTTAGTGCATCAGTGTTTTAGGAGTAGAATGTCCGCCAGTTGATGAGGCACTCCTTAACCTCGTCCAGTTTTCTATTTGTCAGTAAGCTCGGAAAAGAGATAATGCTCATTGTGAGACTGGCAAACTCACCCCATAAAAGCAGTACAACCACTAATGAAACTTTGAAGATTATAGCCTGAACATTCACTTTCCACTAGGAACTCAAAGAATTGAAAAATAGTCAGTTAAACATTTGGTGGAAGGAGCCACATCTGTTACTTTCTATAACACGTAAACGAAATAATAATATTTGATAGTGTGGAAAATTCCCGTATTATTAATTAAAAGTCAATCTGAACGAAGAATATTCTTTTCAATAATTTCTCTTCAGGTTCTTACAATTATAAAATATAATATTTGTTGTCGTTACAATAAAGGCCAGTTATGCGGCAGATACATTTTTTAACGTAGAGTAACAGATTAGTTATGGGGTGTCAAAATAAATAGTCGTATTTGTGTGACAAACGTGCTAGGCTAAATTCGATTACAAAATATTGTAAAATGGGAGACAATGGTGATTAATCATAATAGATTTGTAGAATGTGGGGTAGGAAAATTGACAAGTCAGTTCAAGGTTATAAAAGGTGTCAAGTGAGTGGCTAGTACAAAGTGGTCTGTGTTAAACAGGAGATAGTAAGACTGCAATGGGAGGTTCATAATGAGATAACGAATATGTGAAATGAAACAGATGGAGGCATGTATTGAGAAAAGAGATAATATCAGTTATAATAAGTCAGGATAGAATAAATGGAAAATTCGATACTGTTGAGAGAATGTTTTCATGAAGGGCATAAATTATGACGAATAATAATAATAGTAATAATAAATGTAGTAATAAGGAAAGAAATAAAAAACCAAGGGGGTTAAAGGGAGGAATCACTCTTGGTAAGAAGAAGAATCATCAATCTAAGTTTGGCCACGGTAGGAACAGCGTCTGGATGTGTTCTTTTGGGATACAAAGTTCCGGTTCAGTCGATCTCATTGCAAAAGCTTCAGCTATGTGTAGAAGACGTAAGCGAACTGTGCGTGATAACGACTTCGGAATTCGGTATATAACCCTGAAGGCTGTGTTGACATCGATATGATGTCCAGTATCGACCAAGTGTGACAGGATCGAGATTTTTATGCACTTAATTTCCCCTTTGCTGAACCAAGCTGGTAAATGTTCTCGAACCCGTAGACGAACCTGCCTAATCGTGCGCCCTATATAACTTGAACCACAGGAACAGTTGAAATGGTATATGCATGAAGAAGAGCTAAGATTAGGTAAGACATCTTTGAGTTGCTGGGTGAACATTGGACGGCTATTGAAGGATAGACACAGACGTGCAGAGTAGAAAGTTTTCTTGATCGCCCTGGTTAAACGTTGCGATAGAATCTCCGCAGGAGTATCTCCCTTGAATTCGGGACGTAAAAACAGAGGCTTTTTCTCCACCGTTGCCAGTTCATGTTTACGACTATTGTAACGTATGTTTGCTTTAATGAACTTCTCTGGATATCCGTTCTCGCTTAGAATGTCTCGGATGACCTGGAGTTCTTTCTCTACACAGTCTTCGGAACAAATTGACCTTGCTCTAAATGCTAAGCATCTAATCAGATTACGTTTGTATTTCATCGGTACAAATAATAATAAAGCAGTTTTAAACTGTCCTCCAGATGTACTTGAATAGGCATAGCTTCACAAGTTCATACTATTCAAAGGAACGAAGTTTTCGAAATTACCTATATATTACATGTTAGATATGACTGACAGGATACCTTGTAAGTGAAAATCAGCTGTCATCTGCTGATAAATATTCAATATTATTCTTTAAATACATGTCAGAGAACTTCAACTGTTTCACCAGGTTATTGATATTCCTGACATATCCTGATAAACCTAGCCTCCTTAGAAGTGTCCGGAGATTTTCTTGAATCAATTAGTCTGTATGATAAAACTCAGTCTCCATTAAATACACATGTTAGGAGAGATGACAGCAGCTTAGAATGCGTACATTATCATCCATAATTTTGTCCTTTTATACCCACTCTCATGCCTCCTCATCATGGATTCAAATAGTCCTTCTTTATCAGGCTCTCTGAGTCTACTTTTTATGTTAGTTTATGAATTTCCTCCGCATTAATTTTGTATGATTTTACTTTTGAAAATTATGACTAATGTATAAACTGTTTTGTCTAATCTGTCAAATGGAACACATAAATACAGTCTGACTATGTGACATTATGCTTCATATAAATAAAAAAAACTGTCAAACTGTCTGATGAAAACTTCCATAAAAGGATAATTTACTCTAAGATGATGGATAAAATTAAATGTAAAATTATTTTCGTCTTTTAAGAACCAGACTACCTGTCTCCAGGTTTTTATTATTATTTTTTTCACTGACTTTATGCGTTTACGCTTGACAAGATTAGAATAAGAAAGTGGTATGAATTCAAAATAAATTATGCGTTGCATTTATTAACGTTTATTTTGCACTCCTTCAATAAAAATATTAAGGTTGAATCACAAAATGACATTAATTAGAAAACCAGGAATTACTGAAGAGCTATTTCGTCCCAATTTAAGGCTCATCAGCAATACACGAGTAACCATTAGGTCAAGTAAAGTAACAATTAGCCGCCTACGACACTAGTTGACACTTCCTCCATATATATTAGGAATTGGCAAAATCAGGAATATACGATATATTGGATCGAATCCCAGTGAATAAATAATCTACGAGTTTTCCTTGTAACTTGAAGACTCTGGCTTGTGAATGCATACTGATGAAGAGGCTAAAACACATCTAATTTTGTCGCTTTAATTACGGATAACAATCTGGCAGATAAAAGAATAGTTCCTTTAAACATTATTTCTCTATTCACTAATATTCCACGAATATAAATCATCTGAACTGTCGTCAAGATTTGACAGAATAGTTCTAAAATATTTGGTCGCCAGGTGAGAAGTAGACATTTGTAGAAAATCATATTTGTAAAATCTCAGCGAGATTGAAGTGAGTAATTCCAAAGTTTCGTCCGGTCCGAACTTCTTCGGAGAAATTAATCGAAACCAACATAACAGAGGTTTATATATAAAAGGAACATCACTTGTTTTTAAAAACTTTGTCCAATCATGAGTCATTCAACAAGTATCAACAAGTATAATAAACAAAATTTTATGAGCTGTGATCAAAATTTGACCTCGGACTTACAAATATTGGTCTACCTTTGTTAAACACTTTAAACAATCGAGAATAATCTTTAAAAATTCTAGTATTATAAATCGAGAATAAGTCCGACAGGGTGCTTAAACTAAACTCTAATCCTAAACACCATAATTTTGAAAATACGTCTAATCATAAAATTCCAGATACTAACAGTTTGAACAGACATGAAGGCGTGATGTTAGCTGATGCATAGGAAATCCTTATTAATAAATAAAAATGGATATGTACCACTAATTATTAATACTTGGTCAAAATTCCCGACTGTCCATTTCTTCTTATGGAGACGTTAAGAAATGTTTTACAACTGTTTACCCACACACACATACACACTCTGTTTAAAGTGTTTAACAAAGGTAGACCAATATTTGTAAGTCCGAGGTCAAATTTTGATCACAGCTCATAAAATTTTGTTTATTATACTTGTTGGTAATTGTTGAATGACTCATGATTGGACAAAGTTTTTAAAAACAAGTGATTTTCCTTTTATATATAAACCTCTGTTATGTTGATTTCGATTAATTTCCCCGAAGAAGTTCGGACCGAAGGAAACGTTGGAATTACTCATTTCAATCTCGCTGAGATTTTACAAATATAATTTTTTACAAATGTATAAATCATCTGCTTTTCATGTGATTTCACTTATTTCAGCATTATCGACGTTTGTGTACTAGTTCAGTGCCTAAAACACCTCTTACTTTGGTGTACTTTCAACTTATACATTCACTTTTTTTCTTTCAAAATTTTAGCTCGACTTGACAGTGTTAAAAATTATATGACATTAAGAAGAGTTCCAGCTGCTCTACAAGAACGTGTTATCAACTGGTTTGATTTTTTATGGTATACAAATAAAATTACTGATGAAGACAAAGTTCTACAAAACTTGCCGTATAAATTAAAAGCAGAAATAGCTATCCATGTACATTTGAATACATTAAAACAAGTGGAAATATTTCAAGATACAGAAGAAGGCTTTTTATCGGAATTAGTATTAAAACTACGAGTTGTATTATTTGCTCCAGGAGATTATGTATGTCGTAAAGGTGAGTAAAGTATTCTGTTTTCGTTTTCTTTTTTTCGTTTTGATACTTTTTCACTGATATATTGTTAAAACGTATCTTGTAGAAGAATCAGGTAGAAGTATTTGATAAGAGCCATTGAACAGCATTCTCCATTTCTACTTGAATTCACCTGTGTCAATTGATGACTGTTTTGCCGAAGTGAGATCCGGCTATCCACAAAAGGATGTGTGTAAGCTGAGGAGGAGTTCCTTCTCTCCTCCTGTTGCTCAGATATTTACGTTCTATCTCCCGTGTTAAGTGGTACGATATGGTGAGTAATATTAAGGTTTGGTGTAGACTTTTGGGCAAGTGGGGTGAGTCAATTGTTGAGGTTTTGAAGCTACATCGATCAAGTTGGCTAAGAGAAATGTTGTGCATGATGAGCCATCGCCTTCAATGTCAAGCAATAGGATTAAATTGGAAACGAATTACGGGTGGTTGAACCAAAACCTGGAATCAACAGTGGGTTTAAGCCAACCAAATGTGGAAGTTTAGATTTTCTGACTGTTGGAGACAGCAGTTAAGATATAACATAAACTGTATAACAGGCTGTGAAATTATGACGAAACAAAGAAGGATATTTTAAGAAACAAGATTGCTATATACTAATTATAATACATAATTACAAATTTAATTTGTGGAATTTAGTAACATCTTACTACGCGTTTGGCTTCGGTGGCACAGCGGTATTATGCTCGCCAGCCACGCCTCACGTGGTCCGGGGTTCGATCCCCGGTTTATCGAGTAGGACCTTAACGGTAAACGATGATTTTAGAATTGGTCCAAGAGTCACACAGTGGAAACCATATGAGAGGGAGATATTCTGCTAAAGCACAATACTTCACGATAAACCTAATTGGAATAATGAATAAAGTAATAAACCTATTTGGTTTATGTGTGTTTTTTATTCTCTTCGAATATTTATATTATCACGTAATGTTTTATTGTTGTAATGACCAAAGCGTAGGCAGAAACTTGGATAGAATATTGTAAAACAAATGAATCAGCCAAAGCTTCACTTCACTTGTTCGTTAGTACTGATAATGAACACCTGGTAATAGAATCTATAAAAAGTAATTTTAGTATTTAATCATTCATTTACCGAACAAGTATACAAATAACATTCAATTTTGACTATTTCTGTTAAATAAGTCTTACAAAAACTGTAGCAATGACCAAAGTCAATGTGGTAACTGAACAAAACTAAGCGGAATCATAATTAGTCTTCTAATATGTAATAAAGACATAAACTGCTATTTGTAACGAAAGTCGCTGATTTTTTTCTTTGGGTTCAGAGTGGAAAATAGGTATTCAACAGGATATTTCCATTTAGTCCTGTTCTCTGCTTTCTTTTCCAGCTGGTTCCATAATAGCCTATAAATTCTAATTTCCTTCTCCATATTACCCTCGAACCCACACTCAACTCTCCATTTCCCATCCGTTTTCACTCGAAGGTTTGCCTGGTGGACACTGTCACTCAACGGTCTTCTCAACGTGTCCAATCCACCTCCATTTTCTTATGCATATTTGTTGACCAATCAATCCTTGGTTGGTTCACTACTAGGATTCCCTGTGAGTGATCCTTTATGGCCGGCCGTCTGATCTTCACTACAGAGCAAAAGTAGCTGCTGTTTGACGAAAGTCTGTAGCCTGTTGGAAATGGTTTCAGTGACGCAAATAACACATCCCTGAATCACATGAAAGCTCTATTTTGAAATTAATGTTAAAAATCCGAATCTTGTTCCTTATACTGAGTGCAGTGGACTTCTGGACTGACTTCAGATTAATAAGGGGTATGTCTTGCTCTTCAGATCAAATCTTTGCTAATCTAGTGATTTAGTATTAGCTTACTTCTCATTGGGGGATAAGTTCGAAACCGATTTCTTAGAATTTGCCAATAGGATTCATCAAACAGCGTATTTGAATGGTGAATCGCACAAAATGAAAATGACAGTAATCATATTTCAATGGCTGGCAGAATTTAGAAGGAGGCAGTGGAATACCTTTTCAGAGGTGGAATGGGGAATTTTTTGTGTCTATACTATGCGTTTTTGAATTTATTTCCTTTCATCGCAGGTATACTCACACTATTAAAGAGTTGTAGCACTCGTGAGTTTTCGATAATTCTCTAAATGTTTCAATTTGTAACAGAATTTGACTTAGAGACCTGATGATCTCTTACAGAAAGGAATGAAAATCCCGTTCACGTTTAAAATGAAAAATATTTGTACATTTCGTTAAAACAAAAAACGTTATCTTCAAGTAGTACAAGATTTAATGTCATTATGGGAGTATACATGGTAGTGTTGGCTCATTGAAATCAGCATTTTCTACCTAATTGTCCTGCCTTATTTGTCATACGTCGACTTAAATTTCACTGACATTAGTTGCTATGAGTGAATTTCAGAGATTTTATTTACGTATATATTTCCAAACCAGGTTCTCTTTTAACAGTTTGAAAAAATTTGGGCATTGGGTATATGATATTCATCATAATGAAACAATATCTACACACTTCATTCCTGGGGGAAATTAACAGTCTATCGCCCAGAATCCAGTTTACTTCGGAAGCAGGCAGAATCAGACATCGGTTAACAACCACTTCTAGACTGCCTAATTAAGAGGAGGGAAAACGGACATTTTAGTATATCTATATTCAGGAAGAAAACCCACTCCAACAAATATTTAGAATTCGTGTCATCACACTCCATCAGCACAAAGGTATCAGTTGTTTGATGTCTTCTTAGACGAGCACACTCTCTGATAACGGATGAGAAAGAAAAAGAAGAAGAAATATCAAACATTACTGAGACTCTCAAGCAAAACAACTACCCAAAGAACTTCATCAACAAAATCAACACTGACATTAAATATGGTCGAAAACGTATTCCGAAAACATGGACCTCAACAGTTGTCATTCCATATAGAGCAGAGACGTCAGATGATATCAGAAGAGCACTCAATAAGCTCGACATCAGAGTTTTCTTCGAAACATCAGACACACTGCGAAACAACCTTGTCCATATAAAAGACCAAATCCCTAAAGATTCTCTAATTTTGTCTATAAAATAAGATGCATGGATTGTGATGCGATGTACATAGAACAAACGACTGGAGAAATCAAAATCAGAACCAATGAACACCGTAGAGCACCTGTTCGACCACCGAGAAATCTAGTTGAACTAGGAAAGCTTGAGAAACTATCAGCAAGCCATAGGTCTACAAGCTATAGAATCAGGCCACAAAACTGATTTCGACAATATTGAAATAATCCAGAAAGACCATTTCAGATATCACAACGAACGTCTAATATCAGAAGCACTTCATATCAAGTGGACTCCAAATTGCCTGAATAGGAATGATGGACTAAAACAGAATTTGACCTGGTTAAAACACCCCGGTCCTCCATGAAATGACAAAATCCACACGAATGTGATAAGCAATTTCATTATGTGAGCACGCTGCTCTTATAATTTTATACACTTATCAAATCCAACAATCTACACCTGGTTTTGTTAGCTTTACCAACGTGACAACACAAAAATGACCCCATGCTGAGGAGCGATGATTAAGTTGTTATATATAAGCTGAGATTTTGTAAATTCTGGTTTAATATTACTACTCTGATAGAGCTATTGACATTAAATAGCGAAACGTCAGTAAAACCAACATCGCTTTGTTCTTCATTCATTGGGAAATACAAAAAAACCTTTATTATAATGATTATTTGCGTATATCAGTTAAACCCTTGCATCCACATTTATTTATCTGCTTATCTTGAGGCTAGTCTTTTACTTTTGGCTGCTTAATTTTTGCGAACCGTTTTTCTAAAAGTAATTTACATTATTTTATTTAAAATATAAACTTAGAACAATGCGGGTAGCAAGAGATGAGTTTTATATACTGTGAAAACAGGATTGTAGGAAAAAATTAAAATGAAACAGTTGAGGAAGCGACAGGCGAAAAACAAGTGGGCATACTTATGAAATATATTCAATAAATAAATGGAGGAAATTGCGGCAAGTTCACCACTTAATTTGCCTTCTTTTGCTATATCTGATAGCTTCTGAAGCCACTGAGTCACATTTTCTGCCGGACGCAACACAGGAGTCAAAATGCAATAAAACAACTATTAAGTTATGTGCTGCCGGCCAGCGTAGTTTTTCAAATCAGCCCAAGGGATAGGAGGCAGTGAGCTGTACTGAAGCCACCGAGATGATATTTACAGCATACTAAAGCCATTTAATTAAAGGTGATCTGAATACCACTAGAAATGAGCTTCGCAAAACTTCAGGATTATTTATATGATGACAGTGATAGATGCAAGCAGTTCTGTGGAAACAGCAAAAAATCAAGAACTCAGTCGGCACAAATACTTAGCTCGAATGACCAGGTTTCACAGGTGCATAGTGAGACTGTATTCGCTAAAGTGTGGTGAACCTGACCTTCGATGGTTATAATACCCTCTCGATAACACCAGGGATATCCATATTGACGTCACACAACTATTCAGATACACTAACTGTTTAACTTTTAACAGTTTTCCTACAAGATTAAGTACTCGCCTCAGTATTTAACAATATGTTTGCACTAGGACGACACGAAGAACACTGACTGCAGACACTGATCGCCAAATGACTAGGTGCAGTTTTGATAGCCTCTATTTTATCGCACTATAAAATGTTATGCTTTTCATTGGGAAAGTTAGGAATACTTTGTCCAAGCAGCTGATTTCCATCACCCCTCCATACATTCTTGATAGTTAACTTCTGAATAATATTGATGGAAAATTTGAGACTGTGCAGCGCTATCTGACCTCTTTGTAAGTTGCGAAAGTTATTTTCCTGTCCAATTGGGAGATACCCCAACTGTATTCTTAAGATAAATCTAAAGTTGTGAAGAAGCGTATGCTACAGATTCGATCACGAGCCGATGCCAATTAAAAAATTAACAGGAAACCAAGGATTAATGGACATCTGTTTCGTCTTACCTTGGAAGTCCTTAGCAGTCCACGCCCACCAGGGTTCTAACTTAAAACCTTTCGGTTACAGGATGGGCTTGTAGTCCATTCAACCACTAGGACCCGACTAAGTGGCCCATTAATTCCAACTTCTGCCAATTCACGATGTATAGCGTGACTGCTAGTCAGTGTCAAAGCAGAGTAATCTCTCTGTTACCTGATTTAGTAGACCCTGCTGGTTACAACCTCTCACTAAGACTTTCTGTACACAGCCAGTCGCTGGTGGACATCAGAGAAATTACTAATTGATAAGATGCATATTTTCATCCATATTTACAGGTTGACCACTTAAATTCCAACCCAGAAAGCAGACGATAATTTCTCCATACAATGGCTCCAAGCTTTACTTATTTCAAATGGCTAAAAACCAAGAATGGAGAGCTATCCTAAGTCAATCAGTTTTCGGAAGATCTTCAAATGACATCATGGCACAGTTCAGACTGCCTCTACAAAATGAGTAGTTCACGGTTTTTAGGCGAAATAATCAGTATGGTCGTGAATGAAATATTTTATTAACCCTTATTACGTATTTATTTGATTCTAAATATGATTACGGTTTCGTCCTTTAAAAAGTACTCTTATTTTCACATTTTACAGGTGAAATCGGTAAACAGATGTATATTGTTAATCGTGGTAAATTACACGTCCTAGGAGATGATGGACAAACAGTCTTAGCTACGCTACATGCTGGAAGTTATTTCGGGGAACTGTCTATCCTAAATTTAGGCAATAATGGTAATCGACGTACAGCATCAGTACGTTCTCTTGGATATTCTGATTTATTCTGTCTATCTAAATCTGATCTTTGGGAAGTTCTCAAGGAATATCCAAATGCTAGAAGTAAACTTGAAGCTGATGCATATAAAAAAATGAATCAATATCAAAATATTCCACAACAAAATACCAGAGGTAAGACTTTTCTTATTATTCTGTACACAACTCCAAATTTGATCAGGTATATTATTATTAACGAGAGAGTAAAACGTCAGAGATTTTAAAATTATTTGGTTGATGTGATATTTTAGCCTGAAATGAATTATTCCACTTAGTATATGTGTAAAACTTGGGCACTGTGGTAGTAAGTAATTCCATATTAGTTTGTTTATTAAATGTATCACACAGTGAAACAGTATTATTTACTGGATGACAAGGTTTCGAACAAAATTTATAGTTCATAATCATATCAATTATAATCATACGACTTTGAAACTTGAGTTTTATAGTTACATGTAATAGGAATGACTCAACACCTGTCCACCCAGATATCTGGAAAATTCTACTACCCCAACAACGATTCGATAAACAAAGCTTCTGTTATCAATCTCTCCCTCCACCCTGTTACATTACATTTTAAAGCTGTCATATTATCCCATCCTATTATATGGTTGTGTGTAACTGCATGCAGTGAATGCTACAGCTGAACTATTCTCTAGATTTCTTATCTTATTCGGGTCAACCAATCTAGATTTTGCTAGGTTTTTATGCTTGGCTAGTCTGACTGCCCCTGTTCTACTACTTTGACCTATGTATTTGACCTGACAATCATTGCAGGGTATTAGATGAACTAAATTGTTTCGTTTTAACAGCTCCACAGGATCCTTTAACCGACAAAGCTTGTTTCTAATTGAGTTTGTGGTTGGTTTGAATGCCAGCCACTTTTATTCCTGCCTTGTTAAGAATTCTGCGTAAGGTTTCCGAGGTTCCTTCCTTGTATAGAATTACTACTGACGATTTAGATTCCTTATTGTTGGTGTTGTCTTGCTCATTTTTATCGAATCAACTGCAAACACGTGTAACAGAAATGATTCAAAACCTGTCCACTCAGACATCTGGAAAATTCTACTACTCCAACGAAGACAAATAGGAGAGAACAAAGAAAACTACAAAAGTCAAGTTTCGAAGTCATGTGATTATAATTGATATGATTATGAACAATAAGGTTTGTTCAAAACGTCGTCATCCAGTAAAGAATTGTGTTTTACTGTGTAATACATCTAATAAATGAACTAATATGGAATGAATTATCCCACTGTTTGGTGCTGTTTAAACCTTTGTAATCCTTGCGTTATAACTTTAGTTTCATAAACAGCCTTTCATTTGATTATTTAGATTATGGCAGTTACTTTAAACTAAACGTTTTAATAATGACAGTTTAACTATGCGTGTTGTGAAAGTCTCTAGCAGAATTTAAGTGCAGAAATGATATGTCAGAATCTCTTCCTTATTTACTGAGTACTCCACTTAAATTCCTAAGAGGAGGATTAGTTGATTTTCAGTCGGTAAAAGAATCAAGCGATCAAGCTGACAGGAATAACCAATCGTCGTCTAATTTACATACATTATTTGCATTTATTCATTACTCCCTTTTGTTCGTAATGGGATGTAAAACTTCTACAGAACGTCTTCATTTAATGCTCCTTAGCTGGATCCATAATTGTCCATAAGTTTTAATTTCCTCTGCCTTCACGATCTTCCACATATCACTCACAGACCGATACCAAACTTGTCACTTTCCACTCAGTTTCAACTTGAAGATCTGCCTATTGCTCAGCAGTTTCCCCAGCTGATGTTCATTTATTTGCATTTCCTTATGGATACTTGGTGGGGAAGGAGTTTTTTCTGGGTTCGCCGCCAGAGTTCCTTGTTGCTTATCTTATCTCGTGACCTGAAATCCTTTTTAATGTTTACTCCAATAAAAAATACTTCAATTTCATTATAACTACTGTACCATGACTCTTATATACATTTCCTCCTAACTAATCCATCTAAATCGGGGTAATAATATTGCCGTTGTGATTGCTTCAACTGCATAAGCATTGAATGACTTCACCCCAGTATCTAGTAATACCACAGAACATAACTCCATTATAGATAAGATTTTATTGGCATAAACCATACAGTGTTATACAGTATTATTAACTGACGATGTTTCGAGCACAAATTATCACTGATCACGATCATATCAAGTCACTCACACAAATTTTTACTTCATTTATATACATGAGTAGAATTGACTAGATAATGTACATTCAGATATACTATCAATCAAAATACAATCAGATGGGAAATAAGATGTTTTTGCAGTGAAAATAAGCAACTTGTTAAAATGTGAATTGAATACATTTTAACATTATTTATTATTCCATATCTTCCACATCTCTGGTATTTGCATTGAGTCACTTCTGCGGCGTGTGTTGGGTGTAGACTCGATGAACCAGGATTCAGTAATCAATCTCTCTCTCTCGACCTACCTATATCACCTAGAATTTCAACCCTCTCCCACGATGCTATTGTGTGGTTTTGTGTTAATGCATGCAGTGCAATTGCTGGGCTTTTTTCTAAATTACTTATCTTCGTGGGATCAATCATTCTGTCCCCAGCTAAATTCTTATGTTCTCATAATCTCACTGCTCCTGATCTACTGGTTTGATCCATGTAGTTGACATCACAGTCACTGCAAGGTATTTTGTAAATTGTATTATTTTGTATAATTGGGCCCATTGGGTCGTTTTGCCTACAGAGTTTGTAGGTTTGAATGCCACCCTAATTCCTGCTTAATTGAGAATCCTACTTCGGGCCTTAGATGCCCTCTCCTTGTATGGTAAAACTGTAGGTGACTTATATTCCTTCTTATTTATGTTATCATTATTAAAAGTCAGTCTGAACGAAGAATATTCTTTTCAATAATTTCTCTTCAGGTTCTTACAATTATAAAATATAATATTTGTTGTCGTTACAATAAAGGTCAGTTATGCGACGGATACACTTTTTTACGCAGAATAACAGATTAGTTATGGGGTGTCACAATAAATAGTCGTATTTGTGTGACAAACGTGCTAGACTGAAATCGATTACAAAATATTATAAAACGGGAGACAATGGTGGTGACTAGTCATAATAGATTTGTAGAATGTGGGGTAGGAAAACTGACAAGTCAGTTCAAGGTTATAAAAAGTGTCAGGTGAGCGGCTAGTACAATGTGGTATATATTGAACAAGAGATACTAAGACTGCAATGAGAGGTTCATAATGAAATAACGAATTTGTGAAATGAAACAGACGGAGGCATATATTGAGAAAAGAGATAATATCACTAATAATAAGTCCGGACAGCATAAATGGAAAATTCGATATTGTTGAGAGAATGTTTTCATGAAGGGCATAAGTTATGACGAATAATAATAATAGTAATAATAAATGTAATAATAAGGAAAGAAAAAAAAACAAGATGGTTAAAGGGAGGAATCACTCTTGGTAAGAAGAATAATCATCGATCCAAGTTTGGTCACTGTAGGAGCAGCGTCTGGATGTGTTATTTTTGGATACAAAGTTCCGGTTTAGTCGATCTTATTACAAAAGCTTCAGCTATGTATGGGAAAGATAAGCACACTGTAAGTGATAACGAATTCGGAATTCGGTATACAAGCCTGAAGGCTGTGTTGACGTTGATGCTATATCCAGTATCGAGTAAGTGCGACAGGATCGAGCTTTTTGTGCACTTAATTTCGCTCCTGCTGAACCAAGATGGTAAATGTTCTTGAACCTGTAGCCTAATCGTGCTCCCTATATAACTTGAATCACAGGAACAGTTGAAATGGTATATGCATTTCGTGCGTCGGTGGCACAGCGGTTAGGACGCTCGCCGACCATGTACATGGTCCGAGGTTCGATCCCCGGCCGACGCACTCCTTTGCCTCGCTAAACCAGAAATAAAGCTGGTAAAGAGGAAAGGTTGGGAATCAGGCTAGCAACCCCATCCTGTAAAAATAAAAACTGCTACAGAAACTTCAAGCCTCCAGCTTGAAGCCAGGTACAGACTCTAGCAGAGAACCGAACGCAATGGAGACGCACGGCTGAAGCCCTATGTTCCTCTAGGAATTAAAGGATACAATAATAATAATAACTGTAAGAACCTGAAGAGAAATTATTGAAAAGAATATTCTTCGTTCAGACTGACTTTTAATAATGATAACATAAATAAGAAGGAATATAAGTCACCTACAGTTTTACCATACAAGGAGAGGGCATCTAAGGCCCGAAGTAGGATTCTCAATTAAGCAGGAATTAGGGTGGCATTCAAACCTACAAACTCTGTAGGCAAAACGACCCAATGGGCCCAATTATACAAAATAATACAATTTACAAAATACCTTGCAGTGACTGTGATGTCAACTACATGGATCAAACCAGTAGATCAGGAGCAGTGAGATTATGAGAACATAAGAATTTAGCTGGGGACAGAATGATTGATCCCACGAAGATAAGTAATTTAGAAAAAAGCCCAGCAATTGCACTGCATGCATTAACACAAAACCACACAATAGCATCGTGGGAGAGGGTTGAAATTCTAGGTGATATAGGTAGGTCGAGAGAGAGAGATTGATTACTGAATCCTGGTTCATCGAGTCTACACCCAACACACGCCGCAGAAGTGACTCAATGCAAATACCAGAGATGTGGAAGATATGGAATAATAAATAATGTTAAAATGTATTCAATTCACATTTTAACAAGTTGCTTATTTTCACTGCAAAAACATCTTATTTCCCATCTGATTGTATTTTGATTGATAGTATATCTGAATGTACATTATCTAGTCAATTCTGGATCTGAAGTGGCTCTTTCCTTAAGTGAGACAGAACAATTCCCTTTTACTTTAGAAGACATTATAAGGTGCGTAGGTGGCACAGAGGTAGAATGCTCGCCGACCACGCATGTTGTCCGGGGTCCGATCTCCGGCCACAGACGCACTCCTTTACCTTGATAAGCCAGTAATAAGACTAGTTAAGAGGGAAGGTTGGGCATGAGGCTAGCAAGCAAATCCCGTAAAAACAAGCACCACTGCTACAAAAACTTCAGGCCTCTAGCTTGAAGCCCTATGCTCCACTAGGGAAAGTAAAGGAATAAAAAAATATAACCCTAAGAATGCTTGTTTATTTTGACAAATTTCTCAACGATGTCCTCATATAATTTTAAATCATTTCTCAAAAGTAGAATGAGCAGAAAAACTATTTCTTACATCAGTAATGTCACTTTGCTTGTTTGTGACAACCTGAGGAATCCAGGATGCTCATTTGGGACTATTTGGGACTCGTCAGCTAGATTTACCTTCATTCCCAATGAATGATGGCTTCCCCGCTGAAAATCAAACGCTGCAGCCATCGTCTGAAATGCCAATGCATTATGCAGTATACCATAAGGGTCACGAAAGTCACCTGTTTTGTGCAAAAAGCACTCATTCTATATATATATATATATATATATATATATATATATATATAGAATGAATTCAGTTATTTTCAGGCTTTTTGACGGGGTATTTTCTGCCGATTCTGTATTCTGTAATGATTGCTGGAACCTGTGGGGTGCGCTTCTAGAGGATCTTGACTCCTTTGTAAAATTTTAAACTTATTATTACACGATAGATCATAAAAGAAATGCAGTTCAAACCTCATGATCACATAACATTAGTTTGCATAACTTCATGAGTTTATTTCGGATCTTTCAATTACGTTACCAGAATTTATTGATCCTGAATAAATAAAATTCACATGAAATTAATCAGTTATTCCGCCTTAGTGAATTTTTCTTTACAATAGTTATCTCCACAAGTTTTAACGTGATAACTCAGATATATCGGCTTCAATGTAATGCTAGTAGACGTTAAATGAATATGGTAGGGCATTACTTAACTTTAGACACTCTAGAGACGCGTACAAACCAATAACACCGGAAAGAGCAGTCGTGCTAACTCAACCTAAACTCTAATCCTTCGGCAACCTAACCCTCACCAACCACACATGTGCCCAACGGTTCCATTCCCGGCCGGCACACTCTCATAGTTGGACTTGAGACCAGCGATCCCACCGCAGAAAACATAAAACCACTGCTAATGAAACTTCAAAATTCAAGATTGAAACCCTATGTATAACTAGGAAGGCAAAAGAATAAAATCATAATGTATAATCCTATTCCATCTGTAATCTTAACCTAACCCTGGCATGAAGCTAACTTTAATCTTTCTCTAAATTAACTCAAGCTAACCAGATATCCTGTTTAATATAGTTAATTTTAATTAATTTTAATTTAATTTTTGATTACAGCTTGATTCCAAACCGTATTTTCAGTACTAGCATGGAATTTTCAGCATGGATATCGGTAGCCCAAATTTTGCAGGCCGACCATAGATATCGGGTGTGCGTCGGCAGGGGATCGAACCCCGGATCATGTGCATGGTTGGCGAGAGTCATAACCACTGTGCAACCGACGCACACTTATTTCTACAATACTTTTCGTATATACGGTGTTATTTACATGGCTTCACTGCCTTGCTCTGATTGAGCATTATATGGTCATTGTTGCATATACGCCTGTTGACTGTCTAAATTTGAACTTCGCTCATTGGAAAAAAAATAAACCGTCCAACTAAAAGTGTACAATATACTGACGACTACTCCTAGGTACTATAAAACTGATGCTGTATTCCATGAACACAGAATAAAAGACACAAACTCGTAATTTAACCACACTATCGGAAAGAAAACAGACGACAAAAAATACAAATCATAAAATTCCCCTACATATACTTCCTAGGGTAATGTAACAAAACAACTACTGATCGTTGAATATTCAATTTTCAATAGTATATTTAAAACAAATCGTTTCCTGTCAGTTCAAATCTCTTTTTTTCTGTTTGCATGTGATTACTAACTTATAATAAAACAAGTATATATCCATGTGTGTTTCCGATTTTTCGAACAGGTGGAATCGCGAATACCAACTCCTATTCTTTTCTCTATTCCTGGTTAAATGTCTTCAATTAAGGTTTACTAATTGTTTGGTTTTACTAGTCCGGAAATGCTCACTGAGGTCAAACAATGAAAAATTCATAAGTTTCAACACATAACTGATATCTCTTGTACAAGAGATGAATTCAGTAGCTTAATAACTTAATGGATAGTTGTTTTAGCGTCTGTAACAATGACTGTTGGTCCCCACCATCAGTGAGAACACCATCACTCGTTGGGATCTAGGTTTATTCTGTTGAAAAGTCCTGTAAAGCAAGAAATCCTTGTCATGGATTCCACTGCTATCCACTATCTATCAAATAACATCAAGGCCTACTTTATCTACTTCTTTTAAAATATTTCAGACCAGCATACTGAAATTCTTTACTACAGTCTATATGAGTATTTGTTAGTCTTATTCCCTTGAGGTTTACTAAGAAATTTAATACCAAAGTGAATTCTTTTACCTAGTTTTGGAGAATAAAATCACCTGATCAGTCGATTTTAATGTCCAAGACAGAGCCTAGTACTAAATATCTTTGAAAAAAGTTTCTCTTATAACTCTATCAATTATTGTATAGATGTAATATCTCATCTAGCCTTTTACAAATAATAGTTATCCCTCTTTATGCTTTGTACTGACACATATACTACTGACTGGTCAAAAGTAATACACGTTCCTTGATGTGTTCCCCTGACAGAATTAAAAAAAACGAAAACGGGAGAAAATATTTTATGTTAAATTGTAAAACTTCGAAACTTAGTAGATATCACGTAATCCTCTCTTTTTTCTACTTCGAAATCAGAGAAAATTTTCCCTTCGAGTTGATAAATAGTTCACGCATTCTATCTCTCAGAAAACTATTTGGAACTTCATAGCTTTGGTAATATTTGTGCGGATAAAATGCAAATAATAAATGATTTTATGAACCTTTAATCCGATGGCTTCTCATTTAAGATATTTTTTTCAAAGTTATTCATGTTGTAGACTTTGTTTAAAATGAAACTTAGAGAACAGGTTGTCTCTAGACGTTCTATGTGTTGTACACTTTCTAAAACCAGGAGTCCTTCTACTAGGTTTGATCACCAGTCAATCCTATTAGTTAATAGATGGGTTCTGTTTCCTGCCAGTGGAGCTTAAAGGGGATGTTATCATTTCATAAAACCACTCAGCTTATTCAGCAGTCCTGCACGATATTTCAGGGGAAAGGATAACATATACCCTCCTTTCTGAAGAATTCACCGTCTCAGTTATCTTAATTAATACTAGTGCCTGATAAAAACTGTCTTCAGAGTGTGAAGTGATTATCAAATGACAACTATAGTGCAAATTGTTTAGTCTTCTTCTACGTATCTACTTCGGAGAAAGTTAAACATTTTAACTTCTGATTACATGGATTTACGTAGATTGTTTAAAAGACTAAATGTCGGAGAATTCATACTTTTATAATTTCATATTAAGTGACTTAAAAAACCTATTAAGTCGTGTAAAAGAAGAGACATTCAGGGTCCGTAAAACATGTTTAAAAAATGCAGGTGGATTGAACACACGCTAAGGAGACCGTTGACTGAAATCATGAGCTAGTCAACCCATCCATTGAAAGCTGAATGGAAAATGACGAGTTAGGCGTCCGAAAGTGACATGAAGGAGATTGTGAGACGAGATGAGAGCTTATGGGCAATTGTAGAGCCAGCTAAAGAGGAGTGAAGGGAACAGGATGAAATCGAGATATGCTTTTGAAGCCCAAAATTTCACTTGGAACCTGAAGGAATAAAAGTAATAGCATAACTGATTGAGTCGGATTGAGTAAAGCTCAACTGAAATTGAAAGAAAGCCAAGTTAAGATCAATGTCATAAGGAGTAGAAAAGTAGAAGTGGGAAAGCAGAAAAGTAATTAAATTTTAAATTTAAGAAAAAGTTACTTATCAAGTCTTGAGTTTCATTGTAGGCTCAGTGACTGTACAAACTGGTAAGATTTCCGGTGTGCTCTACACATGACTTTGAAGTTGGTTCGCGAGTTCTGTCGGTGTCCAGAATCGACCAGTTGTTCATATTATTAGTTGCGTTAGTTATACCACACACAGTCACTAATGTCTGGTGTACACATTTTCCTTCTTGATCAAGTCATAATGATACTGTGTGATATGGCGATGGTCATAAGAAGATATTTGAAACAATCACTGTGGGACGTTAACGATAAACTGGGTTAATTTTTTTAAAGAATATTTAAAAATTTCTTATTTTTATATTTCTGCCTCCCTTTGTTTTCAGATTTTCCAACTAAATCTCTCCCATATGAAAGAAAAAACTTGAATATATCAAGTACATTGAACTATCCTAGTTGTACTTCTGTGACTTTTGAAAACATCCTTACAAATACTGCTCATCCAACAGGCAATCAAATTAACCAGTCTCATTTGTACATGAATTCAAATCACGATTGTTTACTGCGTGTTTCTAATAGCGATGGATCAGATGGTTATGGAAGTGATCCAAGCCGTTGTTCAGCTTTTCTGTCTACACCACAAAGATCCCCTACTCCACCAGCTATTTTATGTACGAATAATAATCCTGATAACAGCAATATTATAACATCAAATCATTCAACATGTCCGCTGTCTAATTTTACAGTCCCTAATAATATAATCAATCACAATCAATCTGCATATTTTGATATTCATGAAAATCGATCTAGTTCACCGACTATAGCAGTGAGTAGTGTACCAGGAAATAGTATTCCATGTCATTCGAATGAAAATCAACAAGTTCTCAATACTTCAGCATCTGAATCCCATCAGTATTCATGGTTGAAATCCTGTCCGCCTAATTCAGTTCCTCTCGGCAAACAACGTAATCTGTCAATGCCCACAGATTTATTCCATGTGGCTAAAAATACTTCCCGCTCAAACAGCAACCAACTTAGAGGGCCTCCTAATATGAAATCTCCACAGAATCCATCACATAACTTTTATTCTAATCAGTCGAAAGGAGTGGAAAATGACAATCTATATCATAAATATTATAATTCCAATTATCCAATGAAGGAAGAACATCCAAGCGTTGTCAACACAAATCATTTAAACTATGATAATACAATGAATGGACAAAGAGTTATCCCAGTTATATGCTTTGAAAAAGCCTCTACACCATCTGTATCAGAAGCAACAGTCTCAGAAGATGAACAAGAATTTCCAACTGTTTATGAACAACACAACAGACAGCTGACATCACCAAATCTAATTAAATTTCCAACATCCTCATCAACCTCTACATCTTCACCAATGTCATTGACAACGCTAGAAAAAAATTGTATTCACTTGAAACTTCCAAAGCATAAAACTTCTAATTGGATAGCTAAAAGACCACCATGGCCTTACAATAAAGCTTGTTCATCGTATCATTATAAATCGCATGGATTATTTAAAACAGGACATCATTCTTATACTCCGCCTGTAGATAATACAACGTCTACATTTATATGTCAGTGTAAAACTAATAATAATAATAATAATAATAAACAAAATAGTCAAGAATTGATTGAACACTTGAACCAATTGAATTATCGAATAAATAAATTAGAAAATGAAAATTTCGCCTTACAAAATTGTCTATTGAATCAATCTGCTTCAAGTCAACAGTTACATCCACCGTCAACATCACCATTGTTGCATCATAAACAATCCTTTCCAGTAAATTTAACACGTAAGCATAGTTTACCAGTTAAACCGTTGAGTAGCTATCAGCATATTCAAGGAGATCAAACATCACCGCCTACCACATCACCAAGTATAGTGATCAGTGAAAATTCAGTCGGTGAGTATAGAAATTTGAAAGAGATCAGAGTTAAAAAATCTCAGTCTAATATGCCTAAAAGACAAGAAAACGGTGAAGATGTGAATGGAGACAATTTACCCGGGAAACAAAATACAGGAGATGACAATTCACCCGTATTTACTTTGGATTAACTTAGACTTTTGAATTTTTGTAAAAATGTATTACATAAAGCACTCATACATTGCAAGAGGAAGTGTAATCAACTCCTTGAAGTCTAACCTCCATATATTTTGTTCTTGTACAATATGGAAATCAATATGAGTGTATACTGAAAGCCATGGGAGTACAGGAAACACTGACCAATTCACATTTCCCTTATTCTCCTTTTATTCAACCAAACACTGACATGCTAGAAGGGGGTTTCAAACAGTGTATGTATGACTAATGTTTACCACGCATGTATCACTGCAATGAATAACCTGTCTTCTTAACCAGCCTACATATAAACAGACTAATTAACTTGATACATAACAGTGTAATGTATCTCCTACATATATATATTTGTGAAAATTATCAAACATATTCAAATTCAACAGTTCCTTTTCTGTTTACTGTACCAATACCTTCCTTTTTTTAAAAAAAAGAAATATTCACTCACGATTATGTAAATTGACATTTGAAACAAAAAAAATATTAGTAGTAATCAAAAAAATTTGATTTAATTTTTATTTATCTAAGCAGCCAAGTAAATAGGTATTATAGTCAGTACAGTGCTGAAAATGTCTAAGTATTCAAATGATGTTCAAACTTGAGTAAATAATAAGGATGATGAGTGCTAACAAGTACGAAACATTAATCGTTGACATTTAGACCAGTTGATCGTTTTTAGCATTCACTATCAAACATTGAGAGCTTAGGCTCATATAGAACTCTGAGTGAACTAAAAGTCAGAGACATTTATTAAAGCCGTTTGATTTTAGTTCGTTTGATTTTAGACTTAATTTTTGTCATGAAAGAGGCGAGTCACTTTCATAAAAAGTTGGGTAGATGTTGAAGACAGATGTATTTGTAAATGAATGAAAGAAGGTTCATCCAAGATCAAACAGGGTTTCGTTTCATTCATCGCATTCTAAGTGAGAAGTAGGACCTTAAGCTGTGAAGTTTCTACAACAGCGGTATTATTTTTACGAGGTTGATTTGTTAACCTCATACCAAACCAGCCTTCCTTCTTATATCACTATCAGTTATTAAATTAGGTGAGGCTTACAAGTGCGTCGGTCAGGAATCGAACGTCCTCTGCATACGTGTCGTCTACCATTGGAACACCTACGCATAGACTAGAGTCAAAACGTAGTTTAATTTTCCGTGATAATTGATGTTTGACTATAAGCACCACATCATCAGGCTTAGACAGTTAAGTACAACTTATGTTACAAAGAATTTCCATCAGTATTTCAGTAACACCGTTTCTATGTAGGTCTTTCTGTTGGCAGTCAACTGAAAACTTGTCGGATATTCTTAAGATGTGCAAAAGCGTTTGTTTTAAAGGGTTAGACAAATAATTCTATTCAATGTTAAATCAAGCACTGACGTCGGTTAGATCACCACTGAAAACTGAAGAGTATGTCGTCTAAGACTCTTCAGCAGCATTCATCCGTAACCGTATCGGAGATGAAATTCAGAAAGTTAAGGTTACCAGGAGAGTTCTTTGACTATTCAGCCACTGTGATGGAATCCACTGAGTGATTTATGAATTCTACCATTTGCCAGTTCGCAATATGTAGTTCCATAAACAGACAGTGTCACTGAAGAGCATCTGTTCTCATGCTCAACCTACTGGTTATAGTGCGTACTGTCAAAGAGTGAAAGACTGGGAGAAAACAACTATCTACTACTCTTGGTTTTCTATGATTCTCTAAGTGACGCTAGTTTATGATGACGTAACAGTATCTGTAAGCACATCTTCAGTTCACTTCATGAAACATTTGCAAGGATAAGACGAACAATTAAGTCTGACTTATGCATTACAAAATAAGAAATTGAATTGTATTCATTTCTATGCTCAATTTATGTTCACTTTTAGTCAACAAAACCATTTGCAAACACAGTGATTCCAACTGAAATTCAGGCTAAGTTAGAATTTTCCCTAATTTGCTGGAAATAACGTCGGGATAATAATTCTGCACAACAGAAAAAGGCTAGCCAATCATTCAAAAAATATGCCTCAAGTAACTGCCTCACACAGAACACAAGTAAATACTTTATAAATTAGCTTAGTCACATTAAGTACTGCCTTGTCTGACTAGAGTATAGTTTGTATAAAACTTCAAATTAGCAAAAATAATTATAAAAATGATCACCTTAGAGATATGTCTCAGTCAGGCGGATATGCAACAAATGTCGGTTCATCTCACGGAAAATACCCATTAGTTCAAGAAGAAAATAGAAGACAATTCAGTGCAGAATACTTTCTTTATCGATGAAATCATTTTCAAAGGTTGTACCACACTAATTATATTCACCAAAAGTGTATATCACTCAACTATTGGGTAACAAGGATGTGTGATATAGTCGATACAGTTATTCAGAAGTGATTTCTAAGGCTAGAAAGAAAAGAAGTAATAGTCAGTGAAACAATAGAAGTAAGGATTTGGAATTCGATAAGATAGAAATTGTCATTAGATGAGAAGCGAGGTAGGTTGAGTTTTCCCTTGACGAGTGATAAGAAGGTGACAAATGAAAGCTAGTAAAATGTACAAAAGGAATGTGTACGAGTGAAAATATTGAATTACTTACATAATATAGAAACAAATAAGTAAGACTGAGTTTAAGACCATGGTAAAATAAGAGAGTGTGTAGTGACCCGTTTTATTACTCATCATCGCAGTATACTTTCACTATGTAATTGTACTTCGATTTGTTTATTACTCTAAATCTTGCATGTTAACAATTGATACCTTTTGTACTCACTCGATTTTTGAATTTTGATTGCTGCAATAATACACTATCGTACTCCTTCGCAAGTGCCTTTTGAATTACGTTGTGGACGTCGAGTAATCGCAACGTTAGGTCACAATATTAAACGCGAAGAAGTACTAAGATATACGTGTACGCTAGTGTAGCCAAAATATAGCAGCACAACAAGCGAACAAACTTTTTCTGCACATACGTGAACTCTGAATTTCATTTTTTTTTAATATGTTTTGTTGTAAGGAAGATCTAGTGGTTCCCTTCACAGGTTAATGTTCAAGAAAACAACATGGAATACTCAGTACAGAAAATTTTATATTTGAACCCTTTTTAGAAGAAGGATAAATATGATCCTCCTTTTAGCTTCGAAAATAAGAAGAATTCGCACCAGTGATGCAGCTGGAGAAACAAATATGTCCTCCTTCAAAGTGTATACTTTAGACAATTCACCGAAAAAATCACGAAAGTAAGTCAGAAGCCTGGAAGAATGCAGAAACTTCAGAAGAAATGGAAGTTTATAAATGTCGAAGAACCACTTATCCAGATAACTTAGAAAAGCATTATCTTCTATTGAACTATGGATTTATTTCTGCAGTCGGCAAGTGATTAGCGGATGTGTGACGGCTAAACTTACGCTTTGGATCACCTCAATGTGTTTAAAAACTCACTTGTAGCTGTGAAGTTGATCATATTCGCCGCACAAAGGCCATTTTTTCTTAACACACCTCTGAGCACTTTTCAATATGATTGTCAAGAGATAATTGCAAGTTAAATTCGAGTTTATTTCATAAGCACCTAGTGAACTCCTGCGAAGTCCTTTTTTATAGTTGCGTAAAATGCAGGGCTGCATATCAAAAGCGGTGTTATGTTTTGACATTTTTGTATATCGGAGGTGCTAACGATTAGTTAATACAACTAGAAACTCTGTGTGCAGAAAACGTTTGTTCACTGTGTTATTTTAACATGGTTTTACTTATTTGTTTCTATATTATGTAAGTAATTCAATATTTTCACTCGTACACATTCCTTTTGTACATTTTACTAGCTTTCATTTGTCACCTTCTTATCACTCGTCAAGGGAAAACTCAACCTACCTCGCTTCTCATCTAATGACAATTTCTATCTTATCGAACTCCAAATCCTTACTTCCATTGTTTCACTGACTATTACTTCTTTTCTTTCTAGCCTTAGAAATCACTTCTGAATAACTGTATCAACTATATCACACATCCTTGTTACCCAATAGTTGAGTGATATACATTTTTGGTAAATATAATTAGTGTGGTACAACCTTTGAAGATGACTTCATCGATAAAGAATGTAGTCCTTGCTGAAGTATATATTCATACTCAAGCATTCTTCAGGAGTATAGTAAGCAGTACTATTAATCGCTTGTAATAAGTAGTTATCTTACAGTTACAGCTGTGCCTTTTCCTATAGATAATTCATACAGGAACGGCAAGAAATCCCCAAACGTTCACGAAGGCTTGAAAGCCATCGAGTTAATTACTTCCTAGTCCCTTAGTTTTACATTCTAAGGTATAATTATTATTATTTTTCCATTGGGTTCCAAGTGGAACATGGATATTCAACAGCACATCTTCGCTTTGTCTTATTCTGTGTGGTCCTCTCTAGCTGGCTCTACGATCGCCCTTAGTCTCCTATCTCCTCCTCACACGTTTCCCCCCTGTCACCATCGGATAACCCACTTGCCGTTTCCATTCAGGTTCAACTCAAGGGCCTGGTGCGCAATGTCATTCGATGGTCCCCTCAGCTTGTGTCCAATCCACTTCCATCTTTGTTGAGCAAAATGTCCTTGATTAGTTCGTTCACATAGTTTCTTGCTGCTAATTTTTTCTGGCCAGCGATCTGGTGTTCAGTATGCAGCCAGCGATGGCAGCTTTTCATCAAATTCTGCAGCAGGCTGTTGGAAATTCTTTTCATAACACATCAAGTTTCTGAATCATACAGAAGAAGTGACTGGCTTAATATTGGCGCTGAAAATCCTAATTTTGTTGTTTATGCTGAATGCATCAGATTTCTACACTGATTTCATTGTAATGAAGGTTTACCTTGCCTTTACTATCCCGGGTACCTTTGACATCTTTATTCGTCCTGCCGGTAGTAGAAACAATGCTGCCTAGATAAGTGAAGGAAGTGGTCTCTTCCCAAATACCTTCTCGGGTATCAATCATATTATATTTAATGTAACAGAATTTTCAGTGCTAGTAATATGACAAAGATATCACTGCATGGTCATGGTTTTATATCTAGGATTTGAAGGACGTGTAAGTAACTGCACACGTTGGTCAGAAATATAATTTAATTTAGACAAGTAGACAGTACTACTTAATTTCCTTAAATAGCTTTTGAAATTATTAAGTCTACAACGATAATGTTAATTTTCTTATTGGTAACAACATAAACCCACTGATTATACAGCAAGAACCAGGATTAAAATGAACACACCTCCAACTGTTCTCAAACATAACATATTTCACGTTCAACAAATGGT